AAGTTAGCTTAAAAACATATATTCACATTAAAGGCTTACACAATTGTGAATAATACCTTGTCAGAGTCCGCCAAATAGCACAAGTTCTCATGCATATGACCAGCTGCCAACAAAAACTCCAACTGAAGTTTTTCAGTGAAAGAGAGAAAAAAATCATGTTCAAGAACCCCAAGAAAGAAATTACTCTTGATTTGGATGAAAAGAATCTGAAGCAGATGGGCTAATGAAAATAATTAGACTTACAGATTGTTTTGTATCTGACTGCTCTTGTTAATTAGGAATACCAGATCAAAGTCTTGGAGAAATGTCACATAATATAAGGGCTGAACAAAACCCTTAAAATGATACGCTGTAGGGCTCTCGAGATACATTAATATACTTACAGTGGCAATTATCAAATAAGACTTTTGTTTGTATTTTGGAATTATGCCTTTCTCTGCAGACTTATATCTTCTAAAAAATTAAAACTCTATGGTAAAACAAATAATAATAACTTAAAAATAGGAATTTCGAGAAATAAAATGTATTCCATATGGTTCATGGGAAAAACAAAGTAACTACTTGATGGTTACATATTACACATTATGTACTGTTATATATATACGTATATATACCTATATGCACATATATATTTATTTGAGCTAGAATCAAGCTTACTGAAAGTGTAGGTTTCATTACACGGGTAGAAAGACAGTACTTAGCTCAGGTGATGCAGTTAAGAATTTAACAAGTTAAGCTCTGAGATACTAGAACAACTACTACAACTACACAAATGCCTTCCCAGCATATATATTTTTATCTTCTTTGTCCAAAACCAAGAGCAAAGACCTATATAAAATTGGTAATGGTTCATCAGATATAATTCCTCATGATTTTTCTATCTAAATTTTTTATATTTCATTTATGAACCTGGAGATAAATATTTTCTTTAAAGGAGAATCTTATAATAAAATTATAATTAAGGAGATGATATAATAATGTGAACAAACAAAATTAAATAGCACTTTAAACATCTGTTGGAACAATGAAATGTCTTACAAAAGTCAACAACTCAAGATTTATTTTCATTATAAAGAAGGGAAGGGAAAGCACAATGAGAAATAAATAAAATAAGACAGCAATTGAAAAAAGTAAAAAAATCATCAAATCCATAAGCATACTAGTAAGATAAAAACAAGCCAGAGTAAAGGATGTTCTTTAAGAAAACAGATAACTGCATGTTATAGCACCTGGAAATGATTTTGAAATACCTTATGTCTGTTATCTGCTGTATTTCTAGGTACATAACATTTTACTTTGGTAGTATTTTTTATTACCAAATACATAGGCTTCAAGGTAATAACAGAACCTATGATATCACTCTTAGCTTGTTTGTAACAGTTTGCTTTTTTCTTGGAACATTCATACAAAACTATGATCAAAAAGTAAATTTAAAAGACAGTACTACATCAACATGCTAAACATGCCTTTGGTTTAAGTTAGATATCTAATGTTCACGCCCACATGTTCCCATTAAAAATACATTAAAATTACTTACTTTTAAAATAAATGTAGGACAAATAATGCTACTTTGTAGTTAAAAAATAAGGTAAATCTATTGTATGAGTTAGTAGTGGTGAGGTTAATAATTTTTTAAAGTAAAAAAGAGGAAAAACTGCATTGCATTGAGTTTGGGGTAAAATAATGGAATCTTCTTTGATGTTCAAATTTGATGTTCAACTTGAAGATTACAATCAACAAAAGACTTGCCCAATTAAAATAAGAAACACCACATTACAGTGAAGTAGATGGACTGTGAGATTGTTTTTCAATTCCCTCATGGATAATGTTCGAATTCTCCTGGTTTTGTTCAGATGTGATTTCAAGATTTGTTATCTCTGAAGGGCAAATAGTTTGAAGTTCTGAGATGTTTGTGAGTGGACAGTTTTTTTTTATTTGACTGTACATGTTAGCGACTGTCTTTTCAAGTTCTGCTAAATTTTCAATATGTTTGAGGATTCCTTTTGGTTCTCTTTGAGGGTCTGCATTACACCCTGTTGTTGATGCTGAGAGCTGTGTCACAGAGGATTTAATTTCCTCGGCAGGTGTCTTGTTGGTAGTGCATTTATCGACTGGCATACAAACACACTCTGTGGATAGAAATGAAGCTGAAGGAGGCAGTGGACAAGGAACAGGAAAAGGTGGTGGGGGAAGAGTTGGAAGTGAAGGTAGAGGAGGAGGAGTAGGTGGAGCAGAAGTAAGAACAGAAAGTGGAAATGGTGAAGGATGAGGAAAAGGAGGAGGGAGGGGAGAAGGACAAGAAGGAGGACAGGAAAGAGAAAAAGTAATAAGGTCAAGAGAAGGAGGAGGAGGAGGAGAAAGAGGTGGAGGAGGAGGAGGAATAAAAGGAGGAGGGGGAGGAGAGGAAGAGGGAAACAAAGAAGGAAGATGGGAAAACTTTTCAAAAATGTTCTTTTTGGTTTCAACAACTAATATACAGGCAGGTGTCTCTCTCTGAACGAGTGAAGAATTTAAAATGCAAGGAGGAGAAAGTTCCAAGGAACAGTCAGTAGGAGAGGTGATGTCGTTAGGTTCTGACTTGAGTTCCACAGTTCTTGAAACAGTTGGCAAAGTGGAGAATGAGAAGTGAGGCCTGGGAGAGCAAAATGAAGAGTCTGAAGAGAGAGATTTCAACTCTTTTGTTCCCATCATAATCAATGTTTCACCTTGCCTTTTTTCCTCTTTCTCTGTCAAATTTGCGTCTTCAGTTGTAAGTAATGGATTGCTGCTACCTCTTTTGTTTGGATAGGTTCCAGGGCTTTCATTTTCAGCTTTCTGCCTGGTGCTTTGCCATTGCTGCAGATCTATGATTTCTGGTCTATTTGGAACTTTCCTCACCAGTCTCTTAGGTAAGCTGACTGGCTGACTCCACAGTCTCTGAATCTTTTCCCTTGGGCCCCTCAGAGACTCAGTCTTGGCTTGTGTTTTGGGTGAAAATGGGTCTACAAACTCTGTTCTCAGTGAAAAGCCTGAATTTGTTGATCTTTGATCTATATTTTCCTTATAAAGGAGATTATGGGTACATAAGGCGTCCTCATCAGATGGAAATGTGAATTTTCTTGCAGACTTTGGTTGCTTCTTAAGTGATTCGTCTATAGGAGGTGGCTTGTGAGCCTCAACAGTATTGGAAGAAAAGGGCATCACAACTTGCTGATGTTTCCTGTCTTCTGAGACTGAGTTATTTCCCCTGCTTTGTTGAAAATGGTAGAGAAGGAAAAGACTTCAAAGAAAAGAAGATAATGAAATGTAAGGAAACAAGTTGTGACATAGCTTTCATGAGAAAGATGTTTTTATGGTTCTTATTACTACTTCAAAATTTAAAGGCTGCAACCACTAATCTACCGAAGCAAGACACTCCTTTAAAGTTCCTATTCTCAAAAAGGCAGGGCAAGAAAATCTTGAGAGTTTTGAGTAGAATAAGACATTTTCATTAAAAAAATGTCAATTTCTACCTTCGTTTTTTTTTGTTTTTTCAGTTAGTTTGATACAGCAAAGAATCCATGTGTACACATAACAGATCACTCATGTATAAGTCACAATTCTTAAAAGTGCAGACCAGCCTCTACTTTCATATCCTTTGTCTTGCTTGAGGATGTTCAGAGCTGACTATTATGCATAAAGGATCCTTAGGTGTATCTGATTTAGTACCTGTATATTATCTCTCATTTCAGTAATTTTGTCCTAGAGCTAAAAGTACTCTCCTGAGAGAAAATTTGTGAGATAATACAGAAAAGGATATCCTATTCTGCAGATTAAGAGAAGTAAAGTCCCCAAGGACAGATAGGAGAGTTTTTTTTTCACAGAGTTCAAAATCACAATTGAGAAAGTGAATTGATGTTAGAATTTTGACAAAAACTATTGTCTTCTATTTAAATGGTATGTATAATTAGTTTTAAAATATTATAAATAATACCAATCAGAAGAGAGTTTGTTGATATTTCCTTTAATTATCATCTGTATCAAGTTTTAATCAAGACTCACCTTAATGTAAAGATTTATGTTAAAATAAAATAGTTTTGATATCCCTGAAAGATTTACTCATGCTTGGACACTGTCATAGGTGGCGGTGAGTCATAATTAAAGTTGAATACGTCAAAGAGCACAAATTATGTGCCTCTAACAAAAGCATCTGGATCCTTCTTCCAGCAAGGTGGAGTGAAATGTCAGTTTAAATAATCTCTCATGAGGTTTTATTCTCAAGCCCAAACAGAATAACATTATGTAGTTACTTTTTAATATTTATCCACTGATCAGGAATGAAATAAAAGGAAATATTTTGAATAAAAATTAAATAACCACATTGAAAAATAGGGTGATAGGTTAGGCAATAAAATGATATATAAAGCCAAAATTGTTAATGTGTTATTTGGCAAGGATTCAAACTGTACGAAAGAATCCTCATAGATGGACCTAGAATATCAAAGCCTACTTACATAATTCAGAAAGTGCAGACAATTTGGATTAAACAGAGAACAAACAGTTTTACCTTTCCTGGCCTGGAAACAGTCATTTTTTAAATATGGTAAGAACCACTGGGCTTTTTATTACCTGGCCATTGTTCTTGTGTAGATCTGTTCTTGGTTTGATTTTTCTTGGAAAAAAAATGATCACTATAATGATATCACATCACTTTTGATTGAAAGAAATCTATAAATATTTTAATTTCTTAAAATTAAAAATTAACTTTTAAAAACTACATTTTAAAAAAATATAAAACAAGGAGAATTTTGAAACACCTCTCAGTAAGAAAAGTACTATCATTGGGAACACTTGTTTTAAGCTCATGCCATTTCAAGACATCAAAAGGAAATTGGGTGTGGAAGATAAAATTTTCCTTTTAAAAGTAAATGACTGCATAGTAAAAGATGAAAATCACTGTATATACAGTAAAACAGCACTTAATCTATTCTACTGCATCTTTTCTCTAATGCTCTTCTATTAGAGTGATATTATTTACTTACTTATGCCTACGTATCCACAGGTGAGAAAGAGAAAACATGTGATAGAAAAAGAAAAGTTTTAACTATGATTAATTTAAAACAATTATGAAAATACCAACAGGAACTTTCTTTAAATACTTACTATGAATATCCAAGAAGGAAAATCAATATTTTTATATTTTCTATGTGTTTATTCATAATAATGACATTTAACATTGTTTTAGATAAAATCAAATGGCATTTATTTGGTGTCTTATATAAAATTATATTTAACCATCTACTTACTATTTACACACAGGTAAAATTCACTTCTATTAAACATTGATGATTTCAATTAAAAAATTTAAAGATAAAAATAAAAATTTTAAATTAAATTCTAATAACTGCTTCTATGGCATAACTAAAAAATTGATTAGTGTACACTGATTTATAAAAAAGATATATTTTGTTGGAAGAAAATAAATACATGGGTACTATGATGATTGTTACAAAGTAATTATTGGATCCATATGAAGCTATTATTTGTGAAATTTTTTTCAAAGTGGCTTTTTAAAAAAAATAATTGATAATAATTCATTTGGAGCTAGTTTGTTTTCTAGTAACTGATTAAAATTCCTGAAAAAAAGCTTTGGAAGAGATAAGTTAAACATTTCCTAAAGATAAAATAATTAAATGTGCATAACTTAAAATATTTCAATAAATACATATATTACAATTGCAAACTCTTCTACTAAGTCTACTACAATTGTTCAAGTAAAAATACCACCATCAAACTATGTTGATTCCAGATAGTGTTACAGTATACCTGCTTTTATTAAATTAAAATGAGTATGTATCATTCATTAATTTACTATATAAACACACTTTACTCAAAATGCTTTTTTAGTTTCTAAAGATCTTTGCTTTAGAGAGGTGGTTAACATAATAAAATAGAATCAAATCATATTGGCTCAATTCCTACATTCACCAATAATTCAAAAAGAGACCATCTACTTATAAAAAAAGAAAAAAATATATTTAAAGCATGAATCCTATATTATGTTATTATTTTGGAAATAGAATGTCATGCTTTAAGCTATTTTAAATTCAGCTTTGTGTTAGAACAATAGCATTAAATCAATTTTAACATGATTAAAAATATTCTAAACATAACCTTGTATATTATTATTAATATGGCAAATAAGGTTAATACATGTATTTAAAACCAGTTTTCCCATAAATGGTGTATTTCATGATTTCTGCTGCTTGCTTTATTCCTACTAGTAAATGCTACAAATGTCTCATGTAAGAATTTGTTTTAATCTCTCTACTCCACCAATTTCCAGTTAATAAAAGGTTCCTTGGATTTAATTGTCATATTCAAAATTTTATAATATCCTCTGTCATTTTACATAGCATATTCAGAAGTAGTTACCCTTTAATTTTTAAAATATAGACAAATTAAACATCACTAAAAGGAATCAGAGTATAAGGGTAGCACCATTATAGAAACAGCTGTAAAGTCTTTTAACAATAAACTAATAGTTTCTTTCAAAAATGTATGATTTGAAATTACTTAGAAATTACAAATAGTGTAGGAGAAATATTAAGTAATCATAGTAGTCTAAGAGTAATATAATGGAAAGGATGTTCTCTAAGTAGTTGGGCATTTAATACATGATTATTTTCACTCAGATTTTAATTACTATGTTACATAATGTCCTAAAATAGTGTCTTGGAAGTTTAGGATTTTAAACCACAGAATTTGGTTTTGAATACTGAACAGGGGTTGGTTTGGTAACAAATCAGGAATTGCTACCTTATGATTGTGCTTTATTGTTCTCATCTCCTACGCGAAAACATTTTTTTCCATAATCTATAATTTTAGGTAAAAACGTCTACATGACCCTGAAAACTGAGAGATTAAATATAATATCAATGTGTTGTTCTAAAGTTGAATATTGCTTTTCTCTAACTTAGTTTTCTTTTTTGTTTGTGTTTTGACTATTATTTTTCACTTAACTTTTCTTAGGTGCTCAACAAATTTCTCTTTAAAATAATAGAATAGTCCAAGCAGGCTGAAAACTGCATTTCCACATCAGGTTGAAATTAAATACTCACCACATAGCATCCACTAAAAGCCATCTACTTCTCAAAGTTCCTGTAAAGTCTACTTACATTGTGCTGTCTCCAAGTTCTTCATAGAGATGCGCCCCCGGAGGCGGAGGCGGGGGCGGGGGTGCTGCCACTGGTGCAGGGGCGGGCGCTGCTGGTTTAGCCGCGGGTAACGCGGATTGAATTCGTGCAGTCTTGGTGCACTCAGCTTGGCATCTTGGGTAAAGCAAGGATGTCTTGTAAAACTCATTTTAAAAACCATGTGCTTATCAATAGGCTACCTTTTAATAATGAGGTCCAGTTATCAGAGGATGCAACTTAAAAAAAATCTTTTACACAAATATTTGCATTTATAAACTGACGTAATTACAAAAGCATCCTCACAGGGTATCATTTACATGAGCTCCACCTACCCCCACTTAGTTCTTTAATATTTATCCTTTGAGTAAGGGGTAGAATTCAGTAGAAATATTTGCAAATTACATTAAATGATAATAGTAAAGGGAGAAGATTAAATATTTATAAAAACGTGATGGGTAGTTGATAGTTGTTTAATGAATCTCTTTCTTAAGATGAGGCATTCAGAAAACAAATACTTTTTCTTTACTATTCATATATTTAAAGAAAAGTTACTTTATTTAAAACTAATAAAATGTGGTATATGTATACCATGGAGTTCTACACAGTCACAGAAAACAGTGGTGATCTGGCACCTCTTGTATTATCCTGGATAGAGCTGGAGCCCATTCTACTAAGTGAAGTATCATCCCAAGAATGGATAAACAAGCACCATATGTACTCACCATCAAATTGGTATTAACTGACTTAACTGACCAACACTTAAGTGCACATATAGTAGTAACATTCATCGGGTGTCGGGCAGGTGGGAGAGGGGAGGAGAGGATGGGTATATTAACACCTAATTGGTGCATCTGGGGATGGACACATTTGAAGCTTGACTCAGGTGGGGCAAAGGCAATATATGTAACCTAAACATTTGTACCCCCATAATAGGCCGAAATGAAAAAATTAAAAAAAAAAACTGATTTGAAACCTTTTTGACATTATTTCACAGAGACCATATAATTGTGCATGTGTAGAAGGGAGATTTGGTTAGCTTTCATATCCTTTTTATCCCTAGGAACACCTGTGACTATCATATTAGAACTAAGCTACTGTTTTTGGATATCCTGGACAATGATGGTTAATTTCTTCCTTAAAACTAGATCTCAAAGGGTGGAAGATATAAGCAAACTGTTTTTCACATTTACTCCAATGTGTATATATCTCTCACACCAAAAAGTATACAACTATTACAAATACAAAACAAATAAATAATGTGTGGTTCTGGTCAGGCTGACTACTTGATCAACATAATCTAGGTTTTTCTTTTTTGTATTACATAAAAATGATGTATAAAATATTAGTAATTATACTTACACTTTAAACCTGTTTGGGAAAGCAATGAGTAAGAAAAAAGAGAAGGCTACATTAGAAATATTACATTCATAATACTTTAACATCTGATTTATTCTAAATCATAAATAATTTACTGGTTAAACTCACAATGACACAGAGTTAATTTAATGACATAGTAGAGAAACTATTTCAATTCAGAAGGTGAAAATGGTGAGTACTTTATTATTACCGTTAAAGTCATTCAAGCTGTTAAAACATTCACTACAGAAAATAAAGAAATGGACTGCATGGAATAAGAAAAACTGAATTAAAACATGAATATGTGAAATTCAACTCTAATAGAAAAATGGAATATTAAAGATGATCTGATCTTAATAATTGGCTTCTTGGTTTATTCTGCTCGAAGAATATTAAAGGAATGAAGTTATGCAGCAAGCCCTGATTATACTCTTGGCTTCAGTTCGAAGCTGAAGATAGAATTGGAAGGTCCCACTGCTGGGTAATAAATTCCTGATACTTTTTTTTCATATTTGCTTCTTAGTTTTCCATTCATGGCAAATTTCAAAGACACATGATAATATAAAATAATAGCTATCCATTCCTATCTTATTTATAAGCAGAATATGAAGGTACAAATGTCAGTTCTTTAAATATTAGGATTTTCCTTTACTATATGAGCAGAGCAACACTCATTTTGTTTAATTCTGTTAATCTATGAGAAGCAGTAACTAAAATAATTTCCTGGGGCATTGAGCAGATTACCAAACTAAAAGAGAATTAAATAATGCATTTACAAAATGTTTAAATATTAAGCGTCTTAATTTTTTGTTAAATTTCAGATTGCTGTGTATAACACCCAGGGTGCTTCAGTTTTGATCATTGCATAGTGTGCCAAATATAAGAATTTTTCTCACTGATTTTATTGCTAGCAATATATAATAAAGCTTTTTTGGGAGACAGTTAAATGGAAAAGGATAACTGGTAATACAGAGTAGATTTAACATGAAAATTAGTATTGGGCTGATCACTTAATAATTTAAAACAATTTATCCAGTATTAAGTTTGTTCATAGGGTTTAGATTTAGCTTATCAATTGATTTGTTAAGGATACATTAAGCTCCAATACATTAACCTAAATGTTATATTTACAACTTCGTATTGCTTTTGTGATGGAAAATATTTCTGCGATGTCTTCATGCAGAGCACACTTTTAGATTTTCAGGTTGGAATTACTTCAGCTTATTCAATACAAAAAAATTTTTTCGGTGTCTGAGAACAAAGATAACCGTTTAAGAATACATAACCTTGAATGTCATGCTGTACTATAATAAAAAATAAAATAAAAGAGTATATAAGGAATGTTTTAGTACTTTCCCTGTAGGTATTTTCAATGGTAAATAGCAGTTCTACCATCATTTCTTACTGTTTGTTACATCAAGTAATTTATGTGATTTATGATTTCTGACTATTATTTATTTTATTTTTGTGACACACTCAGGGCTACCTGTCTTCTTAACCAGCTCCCCAAATTTTCAAACATTGTCAGTAAGGATATACTTAAAATATGTACTACTCTATCACAAAGTTTCTCCATACTGAGTGTCAAATAAGAACACATTACTAGCCTGTCTCAAATATAGATATTTAAATTAGTTATAATTAGTTGACTACTTTAAAAGATGTAAATAAAATAAAAAATGTAGATACTGAAAATGGATTTATTTGACTATAGGAACCAGAAAAACTAAGGGCTGCACAGCCAAAATGTGATATCAAACATTACAACACAAGTTCTGACAAGGCTATACAGGAAGGAAGAAATCACAAGGAAAATCGCATATTGTGTGCTATGATTTTTCAATGGTTTTGCTACCATTGTGATCATCTGCACAGAGATAAATTTAACAGTATGGGTAAAAACCTATCATGACAAAGTAGTGAAGCTATAGACCCCTCTTTGAGACTGAGCAAAGTAGGCATCTGCAAGACATTCCATTCCTTTGTCCCCAGGATACCTATTATCTTTTCTCCCAAAGGAGCTCTTCACCTAAAGAAGGGCATAAACAATGCCACAGAAGCTAAACTAATATTCTTATTGGATGAGAATATATTAGGAATACAGGAACATAGAGCTATCTGTGAAAAATGTATCAGGAGTTCATATTGCTTTCCCTTTGAAGAAGATGATTTGGTAGAAGAAGGACAAAGCAATCCCGGAAGTGGTTGCACCATCAAAATTTTACAGCTACAAAGCCCTGTTACAGATATGGTTTTCAACAATGTCTTCCTGAGGAACTATTCATGTTTAGCATCCTGGAATACTTACTGTCTGTAGCTGACCAAAACTACCAAGATGGCAGGAATGCAGCAGAGGATGATGATGAAAGCCAGAGCCAGCAAGGCCCCTTCGGTGTATCCTAGACTTTCTCCTCTCTTTTTAATGCTAGTCACTGCCTCTGGAGTCCGGATCTCCAGAATACGTCCTCCTTCCCCATAATGCGGCTGAAAGTCTTTATTGATATCAAGCAGTTTGCCATCTAAAAATCTGTTATTGTTAGATAAATGGTAAAATTAATGATGTTAGGAGAGAAAGACCTTTTTTTTAAATAAAACCATTTCTGTAAAACCTTTTAATATTTTTAATTGAAATACAAGCTGAGTCAGAAGTCTTATCAATAATAAGAAAATCATGTACCCCCATAATAGGCCGAAATGAAAAAATTAAAAAAAAAAACTGATTTGAAACCTTTTTGACATTATTTCACAGAGACCATATAATTGTGCATGTGTAGAAGGGAGATTTGGTTAGCTTTCATATCCTTTTTATCCCTAGGAACACCTGTGACTATCATATTAGAACTAAGCTACTGTTTTTGGATATCCTGGACAATGATGGTTAATTTCTTCCTTAAAACTAGATCTCAAAGGGTGGAAGATATAAGCAAACTGTTTTTCACATTTACTCCAATGTGTATATATCTCTCACACCAAAAAGTATACAACTATTACAAATACAAAACAAATAAATAATGTGTGGTTCTGGTCAGGCTGACTACTTGATCAACATAATCTAGGTTTTTCTTTTTTGTATTACATAAAAATGATGTATAAAATATTAGTAATTATACTTACACTTTAAACCTGTTTGGGAAAGCAATGAGTAAGAAAAAAGAGAAGGCTACATTAGAAATATTACATTCATAATACTTTAACATCTGATTTATTCTAAATCATAAATAATTTACTGGTTAAACTCACAATGACACAGAGTTAATTTAATGACATAGTAGAGAAACTATTTCAATTCAGAAGGTGAAAATGGTGAGTACTTTATTATTACCGTTAAAGTCATTCAAGCTGTTAAAACATTCACTACAGAAAATAAAGAAATGGACTGCATGGAATAAGAAAAACTGAATTAAAACATGAATATGTGAAATTCAACTCTAATAGAAAAATGGAATATTAAAGATGATCTGATCTTAATAATTGGCTTCTTGGTTTATTCTGCTCGAAGAATATTAAAGGAATGAAGTTATGCAGCAAGCCCTGATTATACTCTTGGCTTCAGTTCGAAGCTGAAGATAGAATTGGAAGGTCCCACTGCTGGGTAATAAATTCCTGATACTTTTTTTTCATATTTGCTTCTTAGTTTTCCATTCATGGCAAATTTCAAAGACACATGATAATATAAAATAATAGCTATCCATTCCTATCTTATTTATAAGCAGAATATGAAGGTACAAATGTCAGTTCTTTAAATATTAGGATTTTCCTTTACTATATGAGCAGAGCAA